GCAAAGGCTTGCAGACACTTTTGACCTCCATGACATTCAGGTCCCAAAGCCTGTGGCAGTGGGACAGCAGCTGCCAGTTTTGACCAGTATCAAAACATAATGCCAGTGCAATCATGTTGTGCTGCTCAGAGGTAGGGGCCTGACTTCTTCAAGGTGAAATGTACCTGACAGCTGGTGGTGTGACTTGTAAGAAAAAAGTTGTTTTCATGGAAGAAGGTTTTTTTGTGTTTTTTTTTTTCCCTTGTGGGTCTTGAAGCACAATTGGGAAGTGCTAAAAAGCCCCTGCCTGCCGCCGGGGCATGTCTTGCTTCACATACACACCCCACCACCCTGCTGCATGGGGCCATGATGCTCAGGAGAATGAGCTGAAGTCAGAAACCCTCACTCCTGACCTTCCTCCTGGTGGAGGCCATGGATGACATGGGTGCTGCAGTGTTCTCCCTCCTGGCCCAATCTGGCATGATGCAGGGGACCCTGAAGGCAGGTGACATGGCAGGATCCCAGGATCCCATCCCTGCTCCAGGTGCCTGTGAACTCTCAGCCCTGAAGAGGACTCACCTTCATCACGGTGCTTGGCTTCTCCTGCAGACCCATCTGCTGCTCTTACCCTCCCAGCTCAGCTTGTATGGCAGGAGCATGTGGAAAGGGACAGGCTGTAAAAGCAAAACAGCTCCTGGAGCCTTGGAAAATGCAGACACACACCAGTGATATGCTCAGATCTTTATTAGGTGGAGGAAGGGCTAAAAAGAAATGAAACTCTTGAAACATTCACCGCACTGGTGGAGGACAAGAAGGGCCAGGAGCTGCCTCCAGAGTTTTTGTTAAAAAAAAACCAAAACTGGGGAGGGACAGGTGAAGTTTCCATCCAGCAGCTCTGGCTTTCCTGGTCAGAGTGGCTCAGGGCAAACAAGGTACAAGACACAGCTTATACTTTTATTTAAGAAACCGCTACATAGTTTTTACCTCTAATGATGTAAAGGAGGTTCCAGGACACACTGAGCCATCCAAAGTCTCTTGCTAGAGAAACAAAACAAAAAACCAACAAAAACATAAAAACAAAACAACAAACAAAGAGAAAACCCTGTCTTTTTTAAAAAAAATTATTATTATTCAGATATGTAAAAATAAAAAGGATAGCTGCAGCTCAGGGCCACAGTGACCAAACTGCTCATGAGAGTTCATCTCCCACAGCAAGAGGGAGAGGGGAGAGGAAAGAAAGGGGAAGGCTCACAAAATATTATTTTTATTCCTCTTCAAAGTAACAACTATATTTGGGGCTGGGGACAGAAATCAAACCAACAGGATGCATCTTGATTTCCTTTTATTATTATTTTTTTTGGAGGGGTAAGGGGGGTTCAGGCCTCCTTATTTGCCTGAATTTAGAACTGCATTAAATAAATGGACTCCAGCTCAAAAAAAAAAAAAAAAAAAAAAAAAAAAAAAAAAAAAAAAAAAAAAAAACAACAAAATTTTTTTTTAAA